GGACATTGGGAGATAAAATGATTCTGGTGTTAGTGGGCATAAACAATGCATCTTTGGTATTAGGGGGAGGAATAGCACCCCATCGTTGGTGTCACTGTGCGAAATAGTGCCCTATCATTGGTGTCAGTAGGAGAAAAAGTGCCCTGCTGTTGGTATCAGTAAGAAGAATAGTGCCCCGTTGCTGTCAGTGAGCGAAACAGTGTTCCATGGTTGGTGTCATTGGGAGAAATAGTGCCCCATGGTTGGTGTCAGTGGGAGGAATAGTGTCCCATGGTTGGTGTTAGTGGGAGGAATAGTGTCTTGTATTAGGGGAAGGAAATGTGCCCCAAGGGCTGGTTGAGGCAAGCAAGGGGCCGCAGTTTGGAGACCATTGGTATAAGTCAGAGAGAATCATACAAGATACCCTTTCTATCATTCTGTAATTAAAGTGTACAATGTATAATAATTAAAGTCGATTAGGGGATTCAAGTTCCGACCAGACAAATAATTAAGACATTGGGTTAAATCATGATGGGAGGTGCATATTGCTGCTGTGGAAGCAAAATAAATGTAATACTGAATTTTTGTCTTTGATCAGGGTGTATTTCAAGAGTTAGAAACATGCTTGGGGGCTTAGTGCAGTCAGATGACTGGCTGCTGACTACTTTCCAGAGGTAGTCTTCGTTTCTCCAGTCAGTGACTGCCTGCCTGCATTTGGGACAATCTTTAGTTTTGGATGTATTCAACTAAATTCATATATCTGATAGACAAATTCTTTTGCTGTGGTTACTGCATGCCCCATCATTTACATTTCAAACAACATTAAGAGATGGAAACTACACAGGATAATTGCAGTGAGTATTTGTTTTGGTAGCTTTCTGCTTTCCCTTTGTATTTATGATTGTATATAACAGGACACCCAGCACTTTCCATAGTTTTTTATGTTGAATGCATAGCAGTTATAAATAGTGTTCTTTCCCACTTTTTTTGCGTTGCAAATGTTTTTATTTTGAGTTTCGCATATGACAATATGTTTGATGTTAAGTCTTCTTGTGTTACAAAAAGAAAAACATATATGTATAAAATATCTCTCTCTCTGTCTATTATATACAGTATCTCACAGAAGTGAGTAGACCCTCACATTTTTGTAAATATTTTATTATATCTTTTCATGTGACAACACTGAAGAAATGACACTTTGCTACAATGTAAAGTAGTGAGTGTACAGCTTGTATAACAGTGTAAATTTGCTGTCCCCTCAAAATAACTCAACACACAGCCATTAATGTCTAAACCACTGGCAACAAAAGTGAGTACACCCCTAAGTGAAAATGTCCAAATTGGGCCCAAAGTGTCAATATTTTGTGTGGCCACCATTATTTTCCAGCACTGCTTTAACCCTCTTGGGCATGGAATTCACCAGAGCTTCACAGGTTGCCACTGGAGTCCTCTTCCACTCCTCCGTGACGACATCATGGAGCTGGTGGATGTTGGAGACCTTTCGCTCCTCCATCTTCCGTTTGATCAATCTGGAGACACGCTTGGCCAGTCCATCACCTTTACCCCAGCTTCTTTAGCAAGGCAGTGGTCATCTTGAAGGTGTGTTTGGGGTCGTTATCATGTTGGAATACTGCCCTGTGGCCCAGTCTCCGAAGGGATAGGATCATGCTCTGCTTCAGTATGTCACAGTACATGTTGGCATTCATGGTTCCCTCAATGAACTATAGCTCCCAGTGCTGACAGCAATCATGTAGCCCCAGACCATGACACTCCCACCACCATGCTTGACTGTAGGCAAGACACACTTGTCTTTGTACTCCTTGTAGCAATCGTGCATCCAGAGGTGAATATGAACCTCCATTTTGTTAAGAGTTTTCCATGTTGTACCATTTCTCTCTCCCAAAGCAGGCTGCCTCCTCCAATCATTCCCCCACCTCCCTCGCTGTGGAGTGACATGTGGGCTGAGTGATGACAGAGGTCACAGGCAGCCAAAGCACAGCAGGAAAGCTCCAGAGCTATAGAACCCCCAATGGAGCTGGGGCCTAGCTGTCTGTTAGTTGGGCAATCTTGGATATCGTAAAAGCGTAAACCAAGCCCTTCACTGAGTTCAAAGACATTCCAGAGAAGTAATAAACTAGACACCACATTCAACATCCATTTTCCCCTATGATTTCATATCTTGGAATATGAGAAACTTACATAAAAACCAGGCATATCGTCAGATTGTTTAAGTTAATACAAACCATTTGGTATATTACATTCCCTAGCTGCAATATATAAAAAAGCAGAAAATTATATCTCCTGAACCATTCACGCGCGAATATTTCATATCTAACCGTTCCGCAGATGCGTCTGCATATTAATCTACCCATGGGTGGAATGTTACATGTACCGAGACTAAGTTATGAATCATAATAGCAGCTACGAGAGTTTCTAGTCATAACTTAGGGCTCCACTTACACCTCCCTCCCCAAAAGGAGACAATTGGTTACTGCTCCAGAGAGGCACCTGGTGGAGATACTAGAAAAGCTAAGCTGAGTTAAGGGTGAGAGAAAGAAGAGTCTCCTGTCTTAACATCGAAACTGACAGAGACAAGAAATCCCTTTGATTTAAGAAACTTGAAGCTGCTTACACCAAGGCTGACTGGAAAGTACTTTAACTCTCTAAATTCCTTTCTGTTATCTCTTTGCTGTGCTATTGTTCTTTGTATATTTATATATATATATATATTGGCTACATCTTTTCCTGTAAATATTTTTATTGCATCCTTTTGACCTTTTAGTAATCTTACTTTCTGAAAGTGTTGAATTGTTTCTAAAGCTTGTTAATGCAAATTACGAATTCCTGCCGCTGAAGAGCGCTACTGTGTGTTTAACCCTCTGTATAGCCTGCTTGCAGTGACAGTGGTATACAGACGATTATCCAACCATCATATGGTGTTATGCAGAGTTTCCTCTTTCTCTGTACAAAAAGGAGGTGGTGGCAGTGTGAAGGGTTAATTGCGTATTTAACCTGACCCAGTAACAATCGCGTTCAGGCTGCAGGTACACAGATTGTAGTCCATTAGCTGGAAAATCTTTGTGCAGGGTGCAGCTGGGCATGGCATTGTTGCGCACGTGACATCATGGTTTTAGATTGGCTAGTCCTTCGGTCACGGGTTTGGTGAGAAGGGCTGGAATCTGACGTTGCGATCGTCACACTCCTCACCTGGTTGCCGCCACACACGCGTGATACCATCTGAACCAAATCAGTTTATCTTGGTCTCATCAGACCACAGGACATGGTTCCAGTAATCCATGTCCTCAGTCTGCTTGTCTTCAGCAAACTGTTTGGGGGCTTTCTTGTGCATCATCTTTAGAAGAGGCTTCCTTCTGGGACGACACCCATGCAGACCAATCTGATGCAGTGTGCGACGTATGGTCTGAGCACTGACAGGCTGACCCCCCACCCGTTCAACCTCTGCAGCAATGCTGGCAGCACTCATATGTCTATTTTCCAAAGACAACCTCTGGATATGACGCTGTGCACTCAAATCCTTTGGTCAACCATGGCGCAGCCTGTTCTGAGTGGAACCCGTCCTGTTACACCGTTGTATGGTCTTGCCACTGTGCTGCAGATCAGTTTCAGGGTCTTGGCAATCTTCTTATTGCCTAGGCCAGCAATGGGCAAACTACGGCCCGCGGGCCGTATACGGCCCGGCGGACCTTTTAATCCGGCCCGCGGAGCTAGGCTCCTCTCACAGTCTGCCCTGAAGACTAGTGTCTATTCTTGGTCCGATCGGCTGCTAATGCCTGAAACTGGCACATGCGCAGATACGTCGAGGGGGACAGATCCTCATGACAGATTTTCATGCTACACCGGGCAGGGGGACTTGGGGATTTAATATGGGGGATGAATTAATATGGGGAATGAATTACTATAGGGGGGATGAATTACTATAGGGGGATGAATTACCTATGGGGGAATATTACTATACTTACTATGGATGACACATACACATCATTCATCTACTCTTGGTCCGGCCCCCGGGTCTGCGCATGTCCAATATATGAACCCATTGCAGCCCTCAAGTCAAAAAGTTTGCCCACCCCTGGCCTAGGCCATCTTTATGTAGAGCAACAATTCTTTTTTTCAGATCCTCAGAGTTCTTTGCCATGAGGTGCCATGTTGAACTTCCAGTGACCAGTATGAGAGAGTGAGAGCAATAACACCAAATGTAACACACCTTCTCCCCATTCACACCTGAGACCTTGTAACACTAAGAAGTCACATGACATCGGGGAGGGAAAATGGCTAATTGGGCCCAATTTGGACATTTTCACTTAGGGGTGTACTCACTTTAGTTGCCAGCAGTTTAGACATTAATGGCTGCGTGTTGAGTTATTTTGAGGGGACAGCAAATTTACACGGTTATACAAGCTGTACACTCACTACTTTACATTGTAGAAAAGTGTCATTTCTTCAGTGTTGTCACATGAAAAGATAGAATAAAATATTTACAAAAATGTGAGGGGTGTACTCACTTCTGTGAGCTACTGTATATCAGATCTCAATGGGGAAAAATATCATGCTGGATATCTACACTGCTCAAAAAAATTAAAGGAACATTTTTTTAATCAGAGTATACAGGGTGGATTTGATTTAAATCACTAGTGAAAAGGCTCGATATAAATCATAATTTTTAAAGAGCAACTGTCACCTCTGTCCTGCAGCGGCTCCTCCTTTGACATGCAGTTGACTTACCGGCTGGTGATGTGGCAGTGACACAACAAGGTGAGGGATGTGGCCGCAGAAGGTGAGCAGGCACTTCCACGATGGATCTAAAATGACAGGTGCTCTTTAAATGTAGGGAATCCTACTCATTTTTGCTGGTAGCGCGGCGATTGGAGGTGCGCCGTGTCCCCCGAACACAGCAGATCACCGATCAACAACAAGAGCCGAAGATGTCGGCTCAGTCATGTGATCAGCTGTGTCCAATCACAGCTGATCGCATGTAAATAGGGAAATGCATTTATCAGCATTTCTCTCCTCACAAGCTGTCACGCTGACAGCTCGTGAGGAGTGGAGAGCCGGTAATTAGCATCCCTCAGAAGGGACATGTACACTGATCATCAGAGCACTGATAATCAGTGTAGCCCCAGCAGTGCCACCTGTCAGTGTCCATCAATGCCACCTGCCAGTGCAACATCAATGCCACCTGCCAGTGCCTACCATATACAGCCTCATGCTACATAACTAAGCTCCATTTCATGCTAAATAAACTACATTATTAACTAGTTGCCGACTGCAGATAGCCGAATGACGGCTTCACTGCGGCCGGCCAGTTCTGGGTGGATGACGTCCCATAGAACTCTCTCCGCCCCAGGGGGCGCGCACACCGGCGATCTCCGTGATCGCTGTGTCCTACGGACACAGCTGATCACGTGATGTGGTAAAAGGCCAATCACAGCGGCCTTTTACCACGTGATCAGCGGTGTCCAATGACACGCTGATCAGAGGGAAATGCAAGTGCCGGTTCTCGGCTGCACTTTCCTCACGCTGTCAGATCGTGAGGAAAGTACTGCCGAGAACCGGCAGTTGTCACAGCGGGGATCGGCACCGATCATCAGGACACTGATGATCAGTGCCCTGACGATCGGTGCCCAGCAGTGCCACCCGCAAGTTCCGCCCACCTGTGCCCAGCAGTGCGCCCACTAGCTCCGCCCACCTGTGCCCAGCAGATCACCCTCCTGTGCCCAGCAGATCACCCACCTGTGCCACTCTGCAGTGCCACCTACCTGTGCCCAGAAGTGCCACCCACCTGTGCCCACCCACCTGTGCCCACCCACCTGTGCTGCCCACCAGTGCAGCCCAGCAGTGCTGCCAGGGGTCAGTGCCCAGTCAGTGCCCAGGGGGTTGTGCCAGTCAGTGCCCATTAGTGATGCCAGTCAGTGCCGTCTATCAGTACCCATCATCAGTGCCGCCTATCAGTGCTGCATATTAATGCCGCCTATCCGTGACACCTCATTAGTGCTGTCTATCAGTGCCGCCTATCCGTGCCACCTCATTAGTACTGCCTATCAGTTCCCTTTTAGTGCTGCCTATCAGTGCTTATCAGTGCCGCCTATCAGTGCCCATCAGTGCTGCCTCATCAACGCACATCAGTGAAGGAGAAAAAAATACCTGTTTGAAAAATTTTATAATAGAAACAAAGAAAAAATTTTTTTTTTCAAATTTTTTGCACTTTTTTTTATTTATAGCGCAAAAAGTAAAGCGCCCAGTGGCAATTAAATACCACCAAAAGAAAGCTCTATTTGTGAGAAAAAATGATCAAAATTTCATATGGGTACAATGTTGCATGACCGCGCAATTGTCAATCAAAGTGCGGCAGCGCTGAAAGCTGAAAATTGGCCTGGTAAGGAAGGGGGTATAAGTGGCTGGTAGGCAAGTGGTTAATGTATCTTAAATAGAAAACTATCTTTAGATAGATTTTTACTCCAAAAGCATTTTATGAAAATACATTTGATAAAAATCTGATTTTAAATTTAAAAAAAAAAAAATCCAGGTTTTTTTTTTTTTTTTTAAATCAGTTTTTATGCACCCTGAGAGTATAGCATCAAGTCAATTAAACTCCTGGGATATAGATCTAGTCCGTTAAGTATCATAAGGGGTTGTTAATCAGTTTCAGCTGCTTTGGTGTTAATGAAATTAACAGGTTACACTAGATGGACAACAATGAGATGACCCCCAGAACAGGAATGGTTTTACAGGTTGAGGCCACTGACATTTTTTTCCCTACTCCTCTTTTCTGACTGTTTTTCACTAGTTTTGCATTTGGCTAGGGTCAGTGTCACTACTGGAAGCAGGAAGTGATACTTGGACCCTACAGAGGTCACACAGGTAGTCCAACTCCTCCAGGATGGCACATGAATACATGCCATTGCCAGAAGGTTTGCTGTGTCTCCCAGCAGTCTGAAGAGCATGGAGGAGATTCCAGGATACAGGACAGTTACTCTAGGAGAGCTGGACAGGGCCGTAGAAGGTCCGGTCCTTAACCGATCAGCAGGACCAGTATCTGCTCCATTGTACAAGGAGGAACAGGATGAGCACTGCCAGAGCCCTACAAAATAACCTGCAGCAGGCCACTGGTGTGAATGTCTCTGACCAAACAACCAGAAACAGACTTGAGGGCCCGATTTTTCCTCTAGTGGGCCCTGTGCTCATTGCCCGGCACCATAGAGCTCGATTGGTATTTGCCATTGAACACCAGAATTGGCAGGTCCGCCACTGGTGCCCTGTGCTTTTCACAGATGAGAGCAGGATCACCCTGTGCACATGTGACAGATATGAAAGGGTCTGGAAAAGCTGTGGAGAATGTTATGCTGCCTGTAACATCGTTCAGCATGACCGTTTTGGTGGTGGGTCAGTGATGGTCTGGGGAGGCATATCCATGGAGGGACGCACAGACCTCTACAGGCTAGACAATGGCACCCTTACTGAAACCTTGAACCCATTATCAGACCCTACACTGGTGCAGTTCCTCTTGGTGCACGACAATGCCCAGCCTCATGTGCTGAGAGCATGCAGGCAGTTCCTGGAGGATGAAGGAATTGATACCATTGAATGGCCCCCATGCTCGCCTGACCTATATCCAATAGAACACCTCTGGGATATCATGTTTCGGTCCATCCATGCTGCCAGGTTGCATCTCAGACTGTCCAGGAGCTCAATTATGCCCTGGTCCAGATCTGGGAGGAAATACCCCAGGACACCATCCATTGTTATGAGCATGCCCCGATGTCAGGCATGCATACAGGCACGTGGGGGCCATACAAACTACTGAGTACTATTTTGAGTTGATGCAATGAAATTTCAGCAAAATGGACTAGCCTGTTGCATCATTTTTTTCACTTTGATTTTCTGGGTGTCTGGATGGGGCATCCTTACGTTCCTAACACATTACCCAGTCCATATCAGTATAGATATACAGCATGATATTTTTCATCATTGAAGTCTGATGTGTTTTCAAAATGTTCCTTTAATTGTTTTGAGCTGTGTACTCTCCTTTGAGGCCCCGGATGCCGTCTCGGAGACCGCCTCGTCTTTGCACCCTTGATGCCGTCTCGGAAACCGTCTCGTCTTTGCGCCCCAGATGCCGTCTCGGAGACCATCTTGTCTTTGCGCCCTTAATGCCTTTTTGTCTTTGCACCCTGGATGTGACTCCTTTTTTGCCCCCTGCAGAAAAACTCGACTTGTTCCAGGGCATAAAGAGACTAAGTTGATAACATCAATGAAACAATACAGTTTTGGATACAGTCTCGAATTTGCGCCGTGGGTACTTTCTTGGATGCCGTCTCGTCTTTGCACCCCAGATGCTGTCTTGGAGACCGTCTCGTGTTCACATCCGTGATACTGTCATGTGTTTGCGCCCTGGTTGCCATTTTGTTTTTACACTCTCTTGTTTTTTGACTTTACACTCTTGATGCCGTCTTGTCTTTTTTGCTCTGGATGCCATCACATTTTAGGGTCTGGATACCCCCCCCCCCCCCCCCCATCTTTACTCCCAAAATACGGTCTCGCCTTTGTACTCTGGGGACCATCTCGTATGTGTTCACAGAGGAACAGCTTATTGAGTCCTACAGAAAATCTTCAGCATAAAGACACCCTTGATATGCCTTATGTTCACCCTGAATACTGCCTCTTATTTGCGCCTTGGTCACTGTTTAGTTCTTGTGCCCTGGAAACTATCTCACTTGTGCGCCCTTGATATCTCCTTGTCTTTACATTTTAGATACGGTCCCATCCTTGTGCCCGTAATATCTTCTCGTCTTTGCGCCCTTGGTATGAAGGGCTAAAGATAATACAATATTAAGGGTTCAAAGATAAGATTGTATTAAGGATGCAAAGACAGAACCAGATCATCTCATCTGCACATCCTGGATATGATCCCGTGTGCCCATCCTTGTTACAATCTCGTCTTTGTGCCCTATTTACCATCTCCTCTGTGGGTATTCACATGTATGAGATTCACTTGTTTGTGTCATTTTGTGTGCAGCCTTCACATCCAAGCCAAAGATATATATATTATAGGGTGGTTCTGGTACCAGCATTTGTTTTGAGAAAAGAAATCCTCGCTACAAAATTTTGGATTTATTGTCAGGTTAAATTATCTTTATTAAGTTTAAAACATTATTGTATGGTTGTGTTTAACTATCAAATGCCTTACACAATGCTGCCTCTGATTTAATCTTTCATAAATACGACAATTATTTATATGAATTTGGTTAACGTTTTTGACTCAAAATACTTGTTTGTCCTTTTCTGCTTTGTTCTAGCCCTGATCAGTCTCTCTTTTGGAGGAGCAATCGGTCTGATGTTTTTGATGCTCGGCTGTGCATTGCCACAATATAGGTAGGTTTATCATTCTCGTTAATTCTCTGTTGCAATAATCCATATCAACTAATCAGGTTTTGTCTCTCAGTTGTTAAAGGATAATGGCAGTTTAAGAAAAAATGCACTTTATCATGTTTGCCCCTTTGCCCTAAACTAACTTTATTCACCTTCAGCTCCACAGATACATGCTTGCTCAATCCAGCCAAGGGATTTTTCAGATTGACAATTTTTATTTATTGGATATGCATATTTTTCTTTTCTTCCCAGTATGAGGAGCTTTGATACAATGTTATCTATCAAATACTTATTTTAGAAAATATCTCTATAGAATTCTTATGGGAAAATGAGATGAATCTTTTCATCATAAAAGAAACAGAATGAACTGATGTAAATTGAAATTATTTTCCAGACTAATTTGTTTTTCTCTCCTATCTAGTGCATATTGGCCATTATTTGTGTTGTTTTTCTACATATTGGCCCCTATTCCATACTGCATTGCAAAGAGAGCAGTAGATGATACAGATGCTGCCAGTAATGCCTGCAAGGAGCTGGCCATATTTCTCACAACAGGAATAGTCGTTTCTGCATTTGGACTGCCTATTGTATTTGCTCGCGCAACAGTGGTGAGTTAAAATCTTAGCAGAATATGGATGTTTTAGAAACTTTATCACATTTTTGTCAGTTTGTGTCCTCATTTCCCATCACTTCTGGTCCAACTGTCAGAGAGAACAGATAAACGTTTTCTCACAGGCGACATAGCATTCGAAACCTAAAGCAGTCCTATCACTAAAATATCAAGGGCTGCTTACTTTCTCAGTGCCCCTCCATTTTTCATAAAAGGCTACATTAAAATGAAAAAAAAAAAAACTTTGGGGGTTCGGTAGTTTATCTACTTGGTATACGCCAGCCTTTACCAGCTGTACCTAGACAAGTGCTATGTCCTCATTCTACTGGTGAGATCCTGGGGAATGTTGAGTAACACAGATCTCGCCAGTACATGCTAATGCATTATGCTGGAGCATGTTTTCAGTAGACCTGGGCTACTTGGCATTCTGAATGAACCTTGCTGGCAGGGAAAGGTATAAAAATGCTGGTTGAAGCTGGACTTAGAAGAATATAGCAAATAAAGTTAGTCCTGTTTAGACACTGAAAAGCCCTAGCACAGCAGTGTTCCAAGGGAGAGACTGTTGAAATGTTTCCAAATCTGACATTTTCACTCAGCTCAAAATTTATCCCAAAGTATAGCAAAGATTGCGTCAAAGTCAAACCTCTCACACATCAGCACTGATATGAGTAGCCTTTTCACAACTACCCCACTGTCTCACAAAACCTTTCTTTAAATTTAAAGGCAGTTCACTCATCACAGCTTCTCTTCAAATCACACACTGCTAAAGCAGGTCATTAGATTAATAGCAACCCTTTCTTTCATTGTCGAAACAGCACTCCATCACTTACAACATAGAAGTACAGCAAGGAAAGGAGTGCAGAGCTTATGTTATTATAGAGAAGTATGGACGACCTACAGAATGTGCAGATGGGGTGGGATAGAACATGGGGTAGAGAAAGAGAATAGAATATGTGAGAAGATAGGTTTAAACACCTAGAATACCCTGGTGGTGTTTAGTAGAGAGATAAAGTTGTACATCTGGCTGTTTCTAGTGTAGGCTGTGTTTATCGACATAGCCACCTTTTTATTCTGTAGAATAGATTGGGTGTTTTTTTACGTTTTAGTAGTGTACATAGTTACATACAGTTAGGTCCATATATACAGTGGGGCAAAAAAGTATTTAGTCAGCCACCAATTGTGCAAGTTCTCCCACTTAAAAAGATGAGAGAGGCCTGTATTTGGCATCATAGGTAGACCTCAACTATGAGAGAGAAAATGAGAAAATAAATCCACACAATCACATTGGCTGATTTGGAAAGAATTTATTTGCAAATTATGGTGGAAAATAAGTATTTGGTCAATATCAAAAGTTCATCTCAATACGTAACAAAGGCTACCATCGGTAACACTACGCCACCAGGGACTCAGATCCTGAAGTGCCAGACGTGTCCCCCTGCTTAAGCCAGTACATGTCCGGGCCCATCTGAAGTTTGCTAGAGAGCATTTGGATGATCCAGAAGAGGATTGGGAGAATGTCATATGGTCAGATGAAACCAAAATAGAACTGTTTGGTAGAAACACAACTCGTCATGTTTGGAGGAGAGAGAATGCTGAGTTGCATCCAAAGAACACCATACCTACTGTGAAGCATGGGGGTGGCAACATCATGCTTTGGGGCTGTTTCTCCGCAAAGGGACCAGGGCGACTGATCCATGTACAGGACAGAATGAATGGGGCCATGTATCGTGAGATTTTGAGTGCAAACCTCCTTCCATCAGCAAGGGCATTGAAGATGAAACATGGCTGGGTCTTCCAACATGACAATGATCCCAAACATACCGCCCGGGCAACGAAGGAGTGGCTTTGTAAGAAGCATTTCAAGGTCCTGGAGTGGCCTAGCCAGTCTCCAGATCTCAACCCCATAGAAAACCTTTGGAGGGAGTTGAAAGTCCGTGTTGCCCAGCGACAGCCCCAAAACATCACTGCTCTAGAGGAGATCTGCATCCTTGTGAAGACTTACCTTGTGAAGACTAACAGGAAACGTTTGACCTCTGTCATTGCCAACAAAGGAAACGTTTGACCTCTGTCATTGCCAACAAAGGATATATAACAAAGTATTGAGGTGAACTTTTGATATTGACCAAATTTTTTCACCATAATTTGCAAATAAATTCTTTCCAAATCAGCCAATGTGATTGTCTGGATTTTTTTTTCTCATTTTCTCTCTCATAGTTGAGGTCTACCTATGATACCAATTACAGGCCTCTCTCATCTTTTTAAGTGGGAGAACTTGCACAATTGGTGGCTGACTAAATACTTTTTTGCCCCACTGTATTTGGACACAGACACAATTTTGTTTTTTTTTCAGGTATTTATCAAAACATATTCATGCTATAGTTATATAATGGATATGGGCTGAAAGTGCACACTCTCAGGTTTAATTTGAGGGTCCCTTCCTCCCTTCCTCCATCCAAATTGGAGGAAGGGTTTAGGAATTACAACTCTTAAGGGTAGCCACCCCCCCCCCTTTTTCAAGGGACCAAAAGTAATTGGACAATTGAATCAAAGCTGTTTCATGGCCAGGTAGGAGCTATTATTTCATTATTTCTTCATCAGTTAAACAGATAAAAGGTCTGGAGTTGATTCTAAGTGTGGTATTTGCATTTGGAATCTATTGCTGTGAATCTACATCAAGAGTTCAAAGGCGCTGTCCATGCAAGTGAAACAGGCCATTGTAAGGCTTTAAAACAAAACAAAACAAATCCATCAGAGAGATAGCAGCAACATTAGGAGTGGCCAAATCAACAGCTTGGTACATTCTAAGGAAAGAAGACCGCACTGGTGAGCTCAGCAACATAAAAAGGCATGGACGTCCATGGAACACAACAGTGGAGGATGATCGCAGGATCCTCTCCTATGGTAAAGAAAAACCCCTTCACAACACTCAGACAAATGAAGGACACTCTCCAGGAGGTGGGCGTATCATTGTCAAAGTCTACAATCGAGAGAAAATACAGCGGGTTCACCACAAGGTGCAAACCATTCATAAGCCTGAAGAATAGAAAAGCTAGATTAGACTTTGCCAAAAAAATTTTTTAAAAAAGCCAGACAAGTTCTGGAAAAGCATTCTTTGGACAGATGAAACTAAGATTAATCTGTACCTGACTGACGGGAAGGAGAGTGTGGACAAGGCTTGGAACAGCTCATGATCCAAGGCACACAACATCATCTGTAAAACATGGTGGAGGCAGTGTGATGGCATGGGCATGCATGGCTTCCAGTGGCACTGGGTCATTGGTGTTTATTGATGATGTGACAGAAGCAGCCGGATGAATTCTGCAGTGTTTAGAGATATACTGTCAGCCTTGATTCAGCCAAATGCAGCAAAGTTGATTGTACGGTGCTTCACAGTACAGATGGACAATGATCCAAAACACACTGCAAAAGCAACCCAGGAGCTTCTGAAGGAAAAGTGGAATATTCTGCAATGGCCAAGTCAATCACCTGCTCTTAACCCAATTGAGCATGCGTTTCACTTGCTGAAGGCAAAACTAAAGGCAGTTAGAGCCTGGCAAAGCATCAAAAAGGAGGAAGCCCAGTCTTTGGTAATGTCCATGGGTTCCAGACTTCAGGCAGTCATTGCCAGTAAAGGATCCTCAAAAAGTATTACAAATGAACATTTTAGTTATTATATTTATTTGTCCAATTACATTTTGAGCCCCTGAAAATGGAGGGACTGTGTATAAAAATGGTTGCAGTTCCTAAAATTTGTACTTGATATTTATGTTCAACCTCTTGAATTAAAGCTGAAAGTCTGCACTTCAAATTCATTTGGATTGTTTCTTGTTCAATTCATTCTGGTGGCATACAGAGCTAAGAGTTTGAAAATTGTGCCTGTATCCATATATATATGGACCTAACTGTAGTTATAGTCTGGCTGAAAAAAAGACAAAAGTCCATGCAGTTCAACCATTTAAAAAAAAAAGTGTAGCTTGAGGACTTTCAGTTAAACAAAAAAACTGCTGCTTGTGGCAATGAAAAGTGCCTACGTGTATCTGCAGCAGACTCCAAAACTCTGACGCTATATTGCCACTAGCTTCTGCCCTTAGGTCTATGCTGGCTCATTATTATGGTGGGCATTCTCACTGGCCAGTAGTAAGGTGGAGGATGCAGGAAGAGGTGAGCATGCTTTGGCAGTATGAGGGAGTATTGGGGCTTTGCTTGTCTAGATGAGCTGGCATTCTGCCTTAACTGTAGCCTTTTGGAGGCTGCTGCAGGCATATAAGTACTTTTGCAGGCGTAAACTAAGATTCTTGTTTAACAGCATGTTCAAAGATTATTTTCAAGGTGCAAAAAAGCAGAAAGTTTTGAAGTGCCATATGTGATTTGTATCCACCTTGATATTTCTAGGTGTGCAAGTGTTGAAGCTAATGCAGAATCCATTTCTTTCCTTCACAGATTCATTGGGGAGCATGTGCACTGGTTCTCACAGGAAACGCAGTCATCTTTTCCACCATATTAGGCTTTTTCTTAGTGTTTGGAAACAATGATGACTTCAGCTGGCAACAGTGGTGAGGCGTAGTTAAATGTCTCTCTGCAATGAGCCTGACTCCCATGAACACCCATTCAGCCAGTAGAAGGACAGTGTGCAGTAACTGTAGCTCCACCCTGGCACTAGCGTGTGGAGTCCTGTCACATTGTTTAATCATGCTTTTTGCCATGGACATGCTGTATGGCTTACCAGAAAAGCGCTTTAATGAAGAAGAATCTTTCTTCCATGATGTTATTTTTGCCTGACTCAATCATCAGACCTTTTTATTTGTCATCGAGGTAGTCCATTTCATGATAAGATATAAACATATCTGTAGTTTTCATTGCTGCTTTTCTTTTTTGATGGTAGAAAACTTTGTCCATTCCCTACATGAGGTTAAGGCCTCACTTTACCAAATGAGTCTAAGTGAAAATCTGCCATGTATAATGCACTTTTTTTCAGGTGTTAAAACATACATTTTTATCTTATGTTAAACTGACAATGTTTTATACATTTTGGCAACCATCTATATAATTGAAATGGCTGATGTAGCTGTGTTTTTTATTTATTATTTTTGTTAATTAGCAATGGAGTTTTGTAAAAATAATTTTTGTCTGTAGTTTATGAAAAATTTTGATTCGGCTTCACACCAGACAGTGAGAGGTCAGACACTAGTGCTGCAGTACCTGTGGCTTCCTGAGACGTAAAAATACACTAAGAAAATCATACCTGTACTACAGTTTGGAAAAATCCTTTTATATTGTATCAAAATTGATAAAATGTAAGTTGGTGTGAGGAAATATGTGCATTAGCTTGGTCCAATAACTTTATAGTGTATCTAAACTCTAAAACCAAAATGTAATGTATTGTAGCATTCCAGTCTTTAGGTGAGGAGCCTGCAGTAGGTTTTTTTTTTTCCCCTTTTACTAATCCTGAGAATTACACCCTTCCTATATCTGGTTGGTCACGTTCACTCTTTCCACTGTATCCATGGAAGGAGCCATGGTTGGCCAATGGGCTAAACATCAAACATGGTGACATCAGCGTGTCTGGCTCTGCCCCAACATGGTTTGTCAAATGTGATGTCACATTTGTTGAAATGCATTGGGTCGGAGCCAGACACACTAACGTCACCACGCATGTCACATACTGCTGATTAGGACCTGGACTATTTGATCGAATAGCGCTATCCTTATCTAACAAATGTGAGTGTTTTTTAATTGTTTTAATTAAGTGGACTTAAAATATAAGGTTATTTTTGCTTCCAGTTCATCATGCAGGAACTGAAGATGCCACTTAATTTCTGTCAAGATCAAAAGGTGTTTTCTGTACTTGCTGAAAATGTTCTTGGCTTAAACAAATAAAAATAATACAGCCACTGCATCTAAGGACTGGTTAACTGCAATACGTTACATTTTTGTTGTTTGTTTTTATTATTTGTTTTAAGAATGTATGAGTCCCTGGTTCTTTAATGACCAAACTGCTTTTTTTTTTTTTCCCTGTTAGCACAGCTTAGAACATACTACTAAGATATTGATTGGGTTTTATGAGAGAGAGAAAGTAATTCAGTAAGACAGATCAATATGAGACCTTTCTTGGTGCTCAAGGCCTCACTCACACTGGGTGTTTAGCCCCAGTGCATGTCGAAGACACAGGTTCACCATCCAGGTACCTTGCTGACAACCTGTCAAACTCAGAGACTGACAACTGCTGTGGCTGGATGGTGCACCTAGCAGTACTTGCATTTAGTGCATTATGTGCCCATGGACAAATGCTTGGAACACAGGCCTAAATGCTGGAGCCTCATGCTCTGGATTAAACACTCAGTATGCATTGGGCATAAAGGTTCTCTGTCACTGTCCAAAAAAAAGAAAAGTTTTATGTTTGGCCATTCCAATGCCCGTTGGTAGAATCTTTTTCCTCCTCTAGAGCTAGGGCCGCTGAAGAATCTTCAGCATCCAGCCTATTTCTGGGTGTTTCCGATCCCTGGTCCCCCTGCTGTGCTCTGTGGTTCTGTCCACCAGTCCCTACATTGCTACTCTGTACTGTAGCAATGCAGGGGACCAGCAGACTGAACTGTAGCATGTGGCGGGGGGAAACACACGCATCCCATACTACCAGAAGTGTCAGACACGGAAGATTCTGCCAAAAGCCATTGCTCTTGAGGAGAGCAAAGATTCCATGATCAGGTGGTGAGATAGGCCAGGGTGATTTTTTTTTTTTTTTTTTATTGTTTTTATTTACTTTTTTTTTTTGGATAGCAACATTGTGTGTGTGTGTGTGTGTGTCTTTTTTGTTTTAAGAGCTGTCCATTTAAATGGCATCTGAAATTAAAATGTTGTTAAAATTAATTATATCTGGTAAAATACTAAATGTCTAGATGCTATTTGCCTTCTGTGGAACATGTATATTGAAACTGTTATTAAATTTTTATGTTACAATAGCCCCAGAGACTGAATAAATTCCTGTTCACACTGGACAATTTTCCTGCAGTAAAATGCATGTATTGAAGTAGAAATCCCAAACAGCGCCATGTGACTCATTTTTTTATCTAGGACTGCAGCTTGTAGTGTTTTTGAAAAAAAGTCACATTTTGTGCATTTGTACTTGCATTAAGCAGGCTTATTATGATTAATGGGAAATGCACAAAACCACATGTATCATGCAGTTTCCTATATTTTTAATTTGTCAACACCATTAAAAAACACCTGTGTTGATTTATTTATTTTTCCCCTCATGTGCATGGTGAATCAAGATGGAACAAGCATGTAAATGATAAAAAATGCACCTGAACACATGCAGTAATGTATAGAAACTTACAGTCAGGTCCATAAATATTGGGACATCGACACAATTCTAACATTTTTGGCTCTATACACCACCACAATGGATTTGAAATGAAACAAACAAGATGTGCTTTAACTGCAGACTGTCAGCTTTAATTTGAGGATATTTACATCCAAATCAGGTGAACGGTGTAGGAATTACAACAGTTTGCATATGTGCCTCCCACTTGTTAAAGGACCAAAAGTAATGGGACAGAATAATAATCATAAATCAAACGTTCACTTTTTAATACTTGGTTGCAAATCCTTTGCAGTCAATTACAGCCTGAAGTCTGAAACTCATAGACATCACCAGACGCTGGGTTTCATCCCTGCTGATGCTCTGCCAGGCCTCTACTGCAACTGTCTTCAGTTCCTGCTTGTTCTTGGGGCATTTTCCCTTCAGTTTTGTCTTCAGCAAGTGAAATGCATGCTCAATCGGATTCAGGTCAGGTGATTGACTTGGCCATTGCATAACATTCCACTTCTTTCCCTTAAAAAACTCTTTGGTTGCTTTTGCAGTATGCTTTGGGTCATTGTCCATCTGCACTGTGAAGTGGCGTCCAATGAGTTCTGAAGCATTTGGCTGAATATGAGCAGATAATATTGCCTGAAACACTTCAGAATTCATCCTGCTGCTTTTGTCAGCAGTCACATCATCAATAAATACAAAAGAACCAGTTCCATTGGCAGCCATACATGCCCACGCCATGACACTACCACCACCATGCTTCACTGATGAGGTGGTATGCTTAGGATCATGAGCAGTTTTCCTTTCCTTCTCCATACTCTTCTCTTCCCATCACACTGGTACAAGTTGATCTTGGTCTCATCTGCCCATAGGATGTTGTTCCAGAACGGTGAAGGCTTTTTTAGATGTCGTTTGGCAAACTCTAATCTGGCCTTCCTGTTTTTGAGGCTCACCAATGGTTTACATCTTGTGGTGAACCCTCTATATTCACTCTGGTGAAGTCTTCTCTTGATTGTTGACTTTGACACACATACACCTACCTCCTGGAGAGTGTTCTTGATCTGGCCAACTGTTGTGAAGGGTGTTTTCTTCACCAGGGAAAGAATTCTTCGGTCATCCACCACAGTTGTTTTCCGTGGTCTTCCGGGTCTTTTGGTGTTGCTGAGCTCACCGGTGCGTTCCTTCTTTTTAAGAATGTTCCAAACAGTTTGTTTTGGCCACGCCTAATATTTTTGCAATCTCTCTGATGGGTTTGTTTTGTTTTTTTAGCCTAATGATGGCTTGCTTCACTGATAGTGATAGCTCTTTGGATCTCATCTTGAGGGTTGACAGCAACAGATTCCAAATGCAAATAGCACACTTGAAATGAACTCTGGACCTTTTATCTGCTCATTGTAATTGGGATAATAAGGGAATAACACACACCTGGCCATGGAACAGCTGAGAAGCCAATTGTCCCATTACTTTTGGTCCCTCACCGTTCACCTGATTTGGATGTAAATACCCTCAAATTAAAGCTGACAGTCTGCAGTTAAAGCACATCTTGTTCTTTTCATTTCAAATCCATTGTGGTGGTGTATAGAGCCAACAATGTTAGAATTGTGTCGATGTCCCAATATTTATGGACCTGACTGTATATGGCTTACTCATGTGACGGGACCTTACTGCAGTGTAATGTGTTGTGATATTCCCCTCAAACAACCAATCTAGTGCAGAGGTTTTAATAAACAGACCTTCTCCTTCACTTTCCTTTCACACTTTAGTTAGTCTGGTCTTTTGGGGTTAGAAGCACCTTCACAAAAGGTCAACATCAAATTAAAGTGATCTACTGTTTATTGTTCAGTCCTGCACTGGAAAAAGAAGTTTCAATCTGACTGCTATTAGTAACATAGGCACGATAATAAAAATAAAGCTCATCTTGAACTACTGAATACACAGGCAAGTTTTAACTGACAGTTTGTTGCTTTTACAACTTGATAATGTACTTGAAACATTGCTTTACCTTCCATGGGACACGTAGATACAAAAACTAGAAATGGTAAATAGCTAATGTATACAGTATGTATTTGTGAAATTTCAGCTTGGAGTTCTCTTTGCAGTTTTTGTAATTTGAAAAAAACATTTGCTGCATGATTTTGGAGAACTTTTAACCCTTAAAACTGCATCTGCTTAGTTTATCTGTCATTCCAGTTAACAATCCATCCTTACCTCAATTTTAGCAATGCTGTCATGGATACTGCATAAAATA